GATTCGTCTCAATTGTAAAACCGTGAAAGGGGTAATATTTTTAAAACTTGGGATTAAACATTTTTTGAAACTCTTTTAATTGATATTAAAAGAGAAAGAAAAACGTTTTTTTTTTTGAAACAAGATAGTCTCTCTAGAGTGGATCTTGGTAAATGACATGTGACTCTTAGACACAAAACTCATGCTCAGAATCAATGCTGAAGCAAGAAATGAGGAACATTTGGGGCATCTTTGAAGATTCAACATCAAATATTGGGGCATTTTTGGATATTGGGGCATCTTTGGGGATTCAACATCCTAATGCAAATTATCAGACCTTTTTTAGGAGATAAAACATAACCAATTCATGTTACATGCATCTTATGCATACATTTTATAACATTATATTTGTCATTTTTTCCCACATACACAATTTTTGCAGCTTTTAGAGTCAAGTTTCGACTTCAAGACGAAGGATACTCGATTCAAAAGCACCTTTACAAATTGATATCGGTTGCTTAGCTCAGCAGCAAGAAGCTACACTTTAACCAACTCGACAGATAGAAAGATCGACATTCATTTTCAGATTCGACATTTCCAATATAAATTATGTCTCGCTTGAGACAGTCTCATTTAATGCAGATGATTATCTCACTTGAGATTGCTTTTTTAAAACAGACTTTGTCTCACTTGGGACTGTTTTACTCGAAAGAAGATTTATTTCACTCATGATTGTTTTTCTTAAAACAAGATTTGTCTCGCTTGAGACCGTTTTCACTAGAAGAGTTTTGTCTCTCTTGAGACAGTTTCCCTTGAAACAAATTTCGTCTCCCTTGAGACAGTTTCTCTTGAAACATAAACATTGAAAACATTTCCCTTGAAATAAATTTTCGTCTCTCTTGAGATAATTTCCCTTGAAACAAAATTTTGTCTCTCTTGAGACCGTTTCTCATGAACCAACAGATATCTTTGAGATCGTTTCCCTTGAAACAAATTCTATCTCTTTCAAGACAACTTCTTTTGAAGCATCATCTGAACCGTTACACTCAGATCAGGCACATACTTGAGATGGTCGAGAAGCATTTCTCAAATCAAAAATAGAATGTGCACATCAGATTTGAACATTTGAAGAATTCAAGATCAGGGATCAAAATTTGAAGATTCAAGAATCAAGATTCCAGACAGGCAACTGGAGATCGAGATTTCTCTCCAGAGCCCCAAGATAACATATGTTGCATATACATTTTAGGCACACCTAAGAGCATTGCATACATAGCATCACATATATGCATAACTTTTTCAGGTTTTAGCTAGAGTCAATTTCAACTTCGCGACGAAGGATATTGAACTCAAAGCGACACAATTTGCTCGAGAGTGGATTTCAACTTCACGACGAATGATATTTAGCTCGAAGCCAAACTTCACAATAAAGGGGTCTCCACGGTTTCAACTTCACGACGAAGGAAATTGTATCCACCCGCAACATAAAATACTTGGATTTCAACTTAACGACAAAGGATATTCAAGTCAAGGTTCAACTTCACAACGAAGGGGCCATCCGCGATTTCAACTCCACGACGGAGGATATTGTGGCACTCGAGACAACGCAAGTTCAACTTCACAACGAAGGGACGACTGGTTTTCAACAAACAACTTCTCAATTTCAGAGCCAATTTCAACTTCACAACGAAGGATATTGGACTCCAGACAACGCAAGTTCAACTTCACGACGAAGGGACCGCTGCTTGTCAACAACAAATTCTCAATTTCAGAGCCAATTTCAACTTCACAACGAAGGATATTGGACTTCAGACAACGCAAGTTTAACTTCACGACGAAGGGACCGCTGCTTGTCAACAACAACTTCCCAATCTCAGAGCCAATTTCAACTTCACAACGAAGGATATTGGACTCCAGACAATGCAAGTTCAACTTCACGACGAAGGGACCGCTGCTTGTCAACAACAACTTCCCAATCTCAGAGCCAATTTCAACTTCACAGCGAAGGATATTGAACTCGAGACAACACAAGTTCAACTTCACAACGAAGGGACGGCTGGTTGTCAACAATAATTTCCCAGTTTCAGAGCCAATTTCAACTTCACAGCGAAGGATATTGGACCCAAGACAGCACAAGCTCAACTTCACAGCGAAGGGGCGGCTGACTGTCGACAAGCAATTTCGAAGCCAATCTTAAGTTCACAGCGAAGGATATTGGACTCGAGACAACACAAGTTCAACTTCACAACGAAGGGACGGCTGGTTGTCAACAAACAATTTCCCAGTTTCAGGGCCAATTTCAACTTCACAGCGAAGGATATTGGACCCAAGACAGCACAAGCTCAACTTCACAGCGAAGGGGCGGCTGACTGTCGACAAGCAATTTCGAAGCCAATCTCAACTTTACAGCGAAGGATATTGGACTCGAGACAACACAAGTTCAACTTCACAGCGAAGGGACGGCTGGTTGTCAACAAACAATTTCCCAATTCCAGAGCCGATTTCAACTCCACGACGGAGGATATCGTGCTACCCGAGACAACACAAGTTCAACATCACAACGAAGGGACGGTTGGTTGTCAACGAACAACTTTTCAGTTTCATCCGCGATTTCAACTCCACGACGGAGGATATCGTGCCACTCGAGACAACACAAGTTCAACTTCACAACGAAGGGACGGCTGGTTGTCAACAAACATTTTTCAAATTTCAGAGCCAATTTCAACTTCGTAGCGAAGGATATTGGACTCGAGACAACACAAGTTCAACTTCACAACGAAGGGACGGCTGATTGTCAACAAGATTTCGTTCAGAGTCAATTTCATCTTCACAACGAAGGATATTAGACTCGAGACAGCACAAGCTCAACTTCACAGCAAAGGGGCGACTGACTGTCAACAAACAATTTCCCAGTTCCAGAACCAATTTCAACTTCACAGCGGAGGATATTGGACTCGGAACAATATTTGGATTTCAACTTCATGGCGAAGGATATCCAATTCTCAGGCTCAACTTCACGACGAAGGGGCCCTGTACGATTCCAATTTCACAAACAGATTGACCCAACTTCACGACGAATGAGTCATCTGTAACGCATCAACACCGAAGTCTTCAGGTCAAGTTTCACCTTCACGACGAAGTATCTTGATCCAGAAGACGATTCAAAGGCCACTCGCCAAAAGCTTTGAGTTCGATTCCAACTTCACGACGAATGATATAGTGCTCAGAAGCTTCCAGATGAACTCGACTTCACGACGGAGGAGTCATCCGTAACTCAATTCGACAGGGAGTTATTGAAACATCAGAGTCAATTTTCAACTCCACCGAACGAAAAGTGTGTCTTTCAATCTTTGCCCTATCCCCGTTACACGACTATGGGAAAAGAGGGGCAGCTGTCAACACACCTTTTTCGTCCTACTAGGATTCAAACTCTCAAAAATAGGATAGAATTCTGCTAGGATTCAACTCCTAAAATAGGATAGAATTTTGCTATGTTTTAAACTCCTAAAGATAGGATCCACAAGCACTATAAATAGCCATTGTAGCTCACTATTGTAACAGACGATTGACACACGATTTACACACAAAACATAGAGGAAAGCACGAGAAGATACAAAGGCAAAGCTATTGTAAACGATTCGAAAAATAAATAAAAGGTAGTATCTTTTTTACTTTTGATTTGGTCTCTTACATTTACGTTTTAATTATTATTATTTTATTTATTTAATTTTATTTATAAGCACATTTCCCTTGTTACTCATTTTATTTAATTGTTTTGTTATTTTTTTTCATGTAATATTTTTTTACATTTATGTATTTTCTTTTTACTTTAGTATATATTTTTATTTTTTTTAGATTATATATAAATATATTATTTTTTATTATCAGTTTTATTAATTTATATATATATATATATTACTTTTTATTTTTTTATTTTATATATATTTTTTTACTTTTTTATTATTTTATTTATTTGTTTTATTTCTATATTTTTTCTTCTTTATCTTTATTTTTTATATTACTTACTATTTTATCTTTGTTTTCTTTATCTTATCTTTTATTTAATTTGTTTTCTCTTTATTTTAATTTAATTAATTTATTTATTTCTTACCTTTTTATCTATTACCTTTTTATCTAACATGGTTTTTTGACCTTCTTAAGGCCACACCTTTAAAACTATCTAAGGTAAGTAATTGTGATCGTATTTTTACCTTTTAATTTTAAATTACAATTTTCTTAATTTAAGACAACCGGCAAATTACGTAGTACCGAAAGGGCGGTTCAAGGGTGCTAATCCTTCCTTGACCGTAATCGACTCCCGAATCCGACATATCTTTGGTAAGACACAAATCAGGTAAGATATAAGGTATCCGATTAACCTATTTATTTTTTAAATAAATAATCGGTGGCGACTCCAATCACATTTTTCAAGTCGAAGCCCAATTCCGGGGCCCAACCGAAAGACGGTTACGACACACTCGTTGACACAAAGAAACGATAATAAAAGAGAATGAAAGAGTGAAAAAATATACTATATTCGAATTGTATTTTAAATATTATACTATATGAAACAATTTTTGATTAATTAAAAGATTATTTATATGTTAAAAAAATTAAATCGATGATTTTTTAAAAGAGAAAAAAAATTAAATCGCTGAATTTTTTATTTGATTTGAACCCAATTTGTTAAGGTTGAGCCTACATGGAGCCCTTTACATATTTCAATGATTTTTTATGTGATTAATTTATGTATTTAGATCAATTTTTTTTTATCTTTGTAAACGATATTTTATATTTTGAGTTTATTGATTAATCTTAATAAAAAGAAATATTAATTTTTCTATATATTTTAAATTTAAATAATTGTATTTATAAAATATATATACATTATCAATAAATTAAAATAATTATACTTAAATCCATTATAATCTATCAACAGTACTATGTGGAACTTAAAGCACTCCACTTACAATAGAATCACATGACATACAAATTTCATGCGAGTTTCCTGTCTAAAATTATCCATGGAAGGTTCACTTTTGTAGATCTAAGACAAGCTAAAGCTTACAGATGAACATGGCGAAGAACATTTCTTCAATTGCTGAGTGGAAAAATATACAGCCATAGACGTAACTAATGAGTCACCATACAAAGCTTTCTTCTTTAATCTTCCTTTCCGTTGTTTTCCTCTTCCTTTTCTCCACGTTCCTCCCTCTTTACACCACCAACCGGTTCACTAAAAAGTTCCTTCTTTCACCCTCTTCTGCTTGTAACTTCTCCAATGGCAATTGGGTCTTGGACTCCACTAAACCCGACCCTTTCTACGACGATACCTGCCCATTTCACAGGAACGCCTGGAATTGTCTTAAGAACAAGAGGGACAACATGGGTCTCATCAATTCCTGGAAATGGATACCCAGAGATTGCAAGCTGGAGAGGATCGATCCATGGAGATTCCTGGGCTTGACGCGGAATAAGAATGTTGGGTTCGTTGGGGATTCATTGAATGAAAACTTTCTGGTGTCGTTTTTGTGCATTCTTAGAGTGGCTGATGATGGCGCTAAGAAATGGAAGAAGAAAGGTGCTTGGAGAGGGGCTTATTTCCCCAAGTTTAATGTCACTGTGGCTTATCATAGGGCTGTTCTGCTTGCCAGATACAAGTAAGCTTCTTTAATTTATTTATAGTTTTTGATTTTGTGTTGCCTATATCATATGATGTATATACTTGTACCATTCTAGACCATGAATCATAGGTTAAACTGCTAGGGAGTATGGATTGCATTTTCGAGTTCTCTGAAATTTCGTTTTAGAATATGATTTCCTTTGTGATAGCTATGATTCTGTTTAAGAGATCTTATTGGATTAGCTATCGTCTGAGTTTATGTTGCTTGCCCATCATATTGATGTTATATACTTGTACCATTCTAGACCATGAATCATAGATTAAACTGCTAGGGAGTATGGACTACATTTTCGAGTTCTCTGAATTTTCGTTTTCAAATATGAGTTCCAATGTGGTAGCTATGATTCTGTTTAAGAGATCTTATTGGATTAGCTATCGTCTGAGTTTATGTTGCTTGCCCATCATATTGATGTTATATACTTGTACCATTATAGACCTTGAATAAGAGATTAAACTACTAGGGAGTATGGACTACATTTTCGAGTTCTCCGGAATTTCGTTTTCGAATATGAGTTTCATTGTGATAGCTATGATTCTGTTTAAAATATCTCATTGGATTAGCTATCGTCTGAGTTTATATTGCTTGCCTATCATATTGATGTTATATATTTTTACCATTCTAGACCATGAATCATAGATTAAATTGCTAGGGAGTATGAACTACATTTTCGAGTTATCCAGAATTTCATTTTTGAATTTGAGTTTCATTGTGATAGCTATGATTCTGTTTAAGATATCTCGTTGAATTAGCTATCGTCTGAGTTTATATTGCTTGCCAAATTTTGCTTTGTTATTTAATTTTCCTCATGTTCCCATTATGTTCAAGACCTGGTGATTTAGACTGACCATAGAAGTCAAGATCCTAACCGGAATGCAATGATGTAACGGCTTAGAACTGTTTCTGTTTCTGGCATTGGTACTTGTATAAAAACTTATTCTTCTGCTCTTGCCTCTTTGTTGTTTCATTTGCCTTCTATGGAAATTCTTAAAGTCTCGATGCCGGTCTTACTTTTATGTTTTGCTCGAATGTACTTGACTAATCAAGGTGGATTCAGAAACAATCTACGGATTCCAATCAAGATGGAGTAAAAGGAATATACCGAGTGGATGTTGATATTCCTGCAGATGAATGGATCGGCATCACTGACTTCTATGATGTTCTTGTTTTCAACACCGGCCATTGGTAATGTTGTTTTCTTTTTCGCTAATTTATAGAAGATGCTGATCACTAAACATGTTACATGTATCTTTTGTTATTATTTTCAGACATGCGGTTGGTATAACGTTTGAGATGTTTCATTTTTTGAAATGTATAGTTTCTTAGTACATACGTAAAACACAACGCCTTTCATGCTTGCGTATCAAGATGTTATTTTGGGACATGCTTCTCTGAAAACATCTGGGAGTAATGCTTGATTTTGTCTTTGATCAGGTGGGGCTATGATAAATTCCCAAATGAGACGCCTCTTGTCTTTTATCGGCATGGGGAACCAATACGTCCTCCGCTGGGATTATCAGATGGCTTTCAAGTCGTTCTGGAAAATATGGTCCACTACATTCAAAAGGAAGTTCCTAAGAATACCCTCAAATTCTGGCGTTTGCAGTCACCGAGACATTTTTATGGTGGTGAGTGGAATCAAAATGGAAGTTGCTTGTTTGACAAACCCCTTGAAGAAAACCAGGTATTTGCACGTCTATTTAATCGACTCCTTCAATATGTTCCATTTGTTTTAAGTTCTGTTTATCAAGCCTTGTATAGCAAGTCAATTCCAAATTTAGTTTAGGTTGAAGACGAATCTGCTATTGGTCCGAAGAACTGTATTGCCTTACTTTGATACTAATACCTGCACAGCTTGACTTGTGGTTTGATCCCAGCAACAATGGAGTGAATAAAGAGGCAAGGAGACTTAACCATCTCATTAAAGAGGCATTGCGAGGAACAGATATTCCATTGCTTGATCTGACTCATTTGAGCGAGTTCAGAGCCGACGCACATCCGGCAATTTGGTTAGGGAAGAAGGATGCCGTGTCGATTTGGGGCCAAGACTGCATGCATTGGTGCGTACCTGGTGTCCCAGACGCATGGGTCGATATACTGGTTCAGCTAATCTGTATTAGCTTGGGATAGGATGACGAAAGCTGCACAAAACCTTATCAAGTTGTCCAGTATTCACCTCGCACAAAGTCAAGCAGCGCCCTTTACTTGAACCGATTATGCGGATATACAGAATATGTGTGAATTGCCACAAGCCTCCAGTGCCCTCCAACTTCTCTTCCTGTGGATGTTCTCTATTGTTTTTCTTCGAGTTTTGGGGGTGGAATGGCTGTTTTAATACTATATATATTTGTCAATTATAGCTGCGGAACGACGACAACTGATGTCTAGTACGTTCAAGGGTACTGGCGGAGTTGAAGAAAAGAGTGGCTAACAGATGAGCAGGGAAATTCATTAACGTTCCATAGCTTAACATTTAAATTATTAGAATTCTCTTATACTCGATTCATTTAATTCCCTTTTCATATTTTAATTTTCTATAATCTTACAAGATAGCAAGAACAAAGCTGCTTGCACTGTGCAGCTGAAACTTCTGCTGGACAATAATAATGACATTTGAATGTCCGAGCTGGTTTTCGTCAGCTTCACGATGGATTACTTACAGAGGGCATTCAGGCAGGACATAAGCGTCGGGAGATTCTCTTCCCTGCTTTGATCTCTATTCACGGGACACACAAATACTGAGCAAAACCAAAATTCTCCCCACCTACTCCACCGGCATTGTTAACTGTTTCGTTGCTCGCCACTACTGCCTCTTTGCAGCATTACACTAGCCAGCTTCAGCTGTGTAGGCAAACCTTCAATACCGACTGCTATGGCCACATTTATTGAGACCACACTTAAAGGACTCTGATGGGACCGCACCACATGACTGCAAAACCGACGGGTGAGCATCTTTCAGAATCAAAGACGAATGCACGATGTTGGGTCGCAGAGAATGGTCCAAAAAAAATGGAACAGTATGCTAAAAGTTACCTGTTCTGACAATCTTTTCCCCCAGTTTTCTCGAGAAACAAACAAGGGAACAAAATCGTTAAAGTAAAAAACCAAACTTAAAAAGGTTCCTCAATCGTTAGTGAGGTGGACACATCGAAATTATTAGATCTCCATTTCTTACATGAATCACGAGATTGCTCTGACGTGACCCATTGTACATTTCCTTCTTTTGAATCAAACCATTGCAATTTGCACAATTTGCACATGGGGTATTGGTCTGTATCAATTACGTTTGCTGGTCATAGTTGGACCACAAGAAAGTTCAGGGATAAGAGTACAAATATGACCACAGCAAGAGGGTGAGGATCACAAGAAACAGGAAACATGGACAAGGAAGCCACTGGTAGTGCTGAAGAAACCAAGACTAAAACCCTCATATTCGGGGGAACTGGCTACTTAGGAACATATATAGTGAAGGCAAGCATCAAGTTACGACATCAAACATTCGTGTATGCCCGCCCCATCACCCCACAATCCTCTCCACACAAGATCAACTTGCATCATGAATTCCAATCCCTCGGTGTTACCATCATCGAGGTATGTATGTACGTATATTTGTATGTATGAGTGTATGTATGTATGTATGTATGTATGTATGTATGTATGTATGTATGTATGTATGTATGTATGTATGTATGTATGTATGTATGTATGTATGTATGTATGCACAGTTGATAAGAATATACTGAAACAGGGAGAGCTGGACGAGCATGAAAAGATTGTGGCAACACTTCATCGAGTAGATGTCGTGATCTCGTCTTTGCCATTCCCTCAGGTCCCTGACCAGATTCATATCATTGAAGCCATTAAAGTTGCAGGTAACATAAAGGTAGGTTGAAAACATTCTTCATACAAGAATGAAGAAACTGGTGCAGCTGAAATTGGTTAAGTTGGTTTTATATATCTATATATTTGGTATGTGTCAGAGGTTCATTCCATCGGAATTCGGGGTCGAAGAGGACCGACTGAGCTTTCTGCCACCATTTGAAGCTTGTTTAGATAAGAAGCGAAAGATTAGAAGGGAAGTGGAAGCATCTGGGATACCCTACACTTACATATCTGCGAACTGTTTTGGTGCTTACTTCTTGAATTACTTGCTTCGTCCACATGAAGAACATGAGGACGTGATCGTCTATGGATCCGGTGAAGCCAAGGGTATGTAATTCAAGCTTTTAAAAATAATCAGTGATTCATCTAACAGTACATGTGTTTTGAATCGATTTCTGTAGTGCTGTTTAATTACGAAGAAGATATCGCGGAGTACACAATCAAAGTAGCAAATGACCCAAGAACATGCAACAAAATTGTGATCTACCAGATGCCGATGAATATTTTGTCCCAGATGGAACTGATTTCTTTGTGGCAGAGCAAAACAGGTAGGAGTTTCAGGAAGATTCATGTTCCGGAGGAAGAACTCGTGAAACTCACAGAGAGTAAGTTCGGATTTGAGTCTCGAACCTGTTGGATGCTTACTTCATTGAAACCAATTTGTTAGTAATCATAAGCTTTTATCTATGAATGCAGCGTTACCATTTCCAGATAATGTACCGGCATCCATCCTTTATAGCATATTTGTAAAAGGTGATTGTCTGAACTATGAGCTTCGAGAGGATGACCTTGAAGCTTCATGTCTATATCCGGATTACAAGTACACCACCGTCGATCAACTTCTTGACGTTTTCCTGGTTGATCCACCTAAGCCGGCTCGTGCTACGTTTTAAATTCAAAAGATAATGAAAGGTTAAATATATTTAATCTTATATCTTTTTATATAATGTACCTATAATAATGTCGATCGAATTATCAATTCACAACTACAAACTCCATTGATAAATAACAAATAACTCACATTGTTCAAGTCTTAGGTTTAGATTTAGACAGCTCCTCTCTCTTATGTTGAATAAAATAAAATAGAAACAATCACCAAATGCTCCTTATTTTAAATAAATTATATATTTTCCCTTTATTTTTAGTATTTCGTTTTAAATAAGAAGAATTTATGAATTCATTTAATGTATTTGAATTAAATCATGTTTACTATTAAATTTTATCTGAAGTAAAACATGATTTAATTAGAATTTAACTTTATAATTTTAATGTAATTTTAAAGTAATTTAATTTTTTTTATTTACTGCACCATAATACATGGATAATGCATTTAGTTCAAAACACCAACCGCTGCAAGGATTTGTAATTTTAAAGTAATTCATTTAATGGATAATACACGAATCGTGACTAAAGGAATCGTTGTTGTTCTTAGAGATCAAAGGTTTGAGCACCAGTGACTGCAAGGGTGATTAAGTGTTCATCATCAAATGGTTGAAAGTACTTGGAACAAATACTACTTTGTAATCACCTTTAGTTTGATATTATAAATTATATCATATTCTGTTTTTCAAGGACGTTGATTATTAATAGTGACATTTTAAATGTTTTACCCGATTCAAGATGACTATTGCCACTTCTACTTGAGCACTTGGATCACAAGAAAGTTTGGAGGTGAAACTATAAATAAGGCCATATCAAGAGGGTGTAGATCACAAGAAATATGGATAATAAAATCCTCATATTTGGGGGAACTGGTTACTTAGGAACATATTTGGTGAAGGCATGCATCAAGTTAGGACATCAAACATTCGTGTATGCCCGCCCCATCACCCCACAATCCTCTCCACACAAGATCGACTTGCATCATGAATTCCGATCCCTTGGTGTTACTGTCATCGAGGTATGTATGTATGTACATATGTATGTGTCTATGTATACATATTTGATAAGTATATATTGAAACAGGGAGAGTTGGACGAACATGAAAAGATCGTGGCAACGCTTCGTCAAGTCGATATCGTGATCTCATCGTTACCATTCCCTCAGGTCCCTGACCAGATTCATATCATTGAAGCCATTAAAGTTGCAGGTAACATAAAGGTAGGTTAAAAACATTCTTCATACATGAACGAAGAAACTGGTGCAGCTGAAACTGATTCAGTTGGTTTTACATATCTATATATCTGGAACGTGTGTAGAGGTTCATTCCATTGGAATTTGGGGTCGAAGAGGATCGACTGAGCTTTCTGCCACCATTTGAAGCTTGTTTGGACAAGAAGCTAAAGATTAGAAGGGCAGTGGAAGCATGTGGGATACCCTACACTTACATATCTGCAAATTGTTTTGGTGCTTCGTGAATTACTTGCTTCGTCCATGCGAAGAACATGAGGATATGATCATATATGGATCCGGTGAAGCAAAGGGTAGGTAATCGAAGCTTTAAATTATTACTTAGTTTTGAATTGATTTCTATGTATGATTCGTTTCAGTGCTGTTCAATTATAAGGAAGATATCGCAGAGTACACAATCAAACTAGCAAACGATCCGAGAACATGCAACCGGATCGTATTTTATCGGACGCCGGAGAATGTTTTGTCCCAGATTGAATTGGTTTCCCTGTGGGAGAAGAAAACAGGTAGGAGTTTCAGGAAGACGCTTGTACAAGAGGAAGAACTTTTGAAACTCACAGAGAGTAAGTTTGAATTCGAATCTCGAACCTGTTGTAGTAAGCAATAGGGCAGAATTTGCTTACTTGATAATCATAAACTTTATGATGAATGCAGACTTGGCATTTCCAGATAATGTACGAGCATCCCTTCACAGTATATTTGTAAAAGGTGATCTGAACTATGACCTTGGGGAAGATGACCTTGAAACTTGGAGTCTAAATCCGGATTACAAGTACACCACCATGGATCAACCTCTCGACATTTTTCTGATTGATCCACCTAAGCCTGCTATTGCTGCATTTTGAATCAGGGTTAATGTTTATCATCTGCGGGTGCTTCATAGTTTTCTGGTTGTACTCTTGGGAGAAGTTGTAAAACAATACTCAGAGAATAGAAGCCGTGTTTACTAGGATTTTATTGACATGCTTTATCTACAAAAACCTTGAAAAGAATTCTGGGTCTCCCTAACGAGTCCTAAAGGTTTGAGGCATACCGGAACCAATGATTCTCGACAATGGCAGAACAATAGTCGATAAAGTGGTGAGCAGAAACATGTAAGGAGCTTGAATATATGCAAACAAAAATAAATTCAATAATTCCATTCCCTGTAACTGAACAAAACTATAGTAATCCTTGCCGATCTGCATGAAACAAACCCTCATAAATCCATCTCGATAAGAACCATGGCTGTCACAAGCAACTTCACTCTCTTGATTCACTAACCCCTTTCTAAACTCATATGACAACCAGTCTTTAAACCCGATCTAGAAAACCTCAAACTCCACCTAGTGAAAAGGACAATGGAGATGATATAATCACAGTTCCTAGTTATTTTATTATCATAAATGTGTAATTTCTCTTGCAGTATTTTCCCATGGATGATTATTATTCCAATGCCACAAAGAATATAACAATGATACAGCAACATGACTGAAACTTTGACTATTCTCAGCACAGCAATTACAGAAAGGAATATTTTCGTTGTTTATTTGCATAGGAAAGTCATTTCCACACAAGTCCTCATATTAATCAACACCAGAGCACCATATGAACAGGAAATACAACCCCAGTCAAAAGAGTTAATTAGTTTGCTCGAATAAATAAGCGGAAAGAGGAGCATTGGTATCAATTCATAGGATTACCAAGACCTAAAAGTCAAAAACTCAGATGATTATTTGAAATGGAAAGCATTGCTTCTCTAGAGCTCCTGGTAGCAATTACACGAGTGAAAGCTCTCCAGCGGGAATTGACCGTTTGACAAGTTTAGCCCAAGACCCGTAAGTCTCTGCAATAACCTTAAGAGCATAATCCTGTTTATCACAAAGATAATATTTAGGTGAACAAATGCAGGTTGAACCAGGATGAAGTGATGGGTAAAATTATAAAATCAATACTTACCTTGTTTGCCGCTTTGTTGCCAAGGCCAAACTTGTTGGCCGGTTTTCCATCAGGGATCTTGTAGTCCCTAAACCAATCCCTGATTGCAGTGAGAGTCCCCTAAAATATTACCCAATGGATGCTCAATTATAAAATTCCATAACAATCAACGCTTATGTCTTCAGATGCATGTTGTCATAGTAAAATAAGGAAGCAATATCAAGAATCTAAATTATAGAGAGAAATACGCTTCTCAACATTGTCAAGATCATTCATAAGAGAAGCCCTTGGATCATATAATGAAATGGGAACTACTTTCCAGTCAAGTTCACCTTCATCAATAATCCAATTCCACAAAAAAGAGAACGACGTCTTGAAACGCATGCTGTCATGGTAAAATAAGGTAGCAATCTAAAACAATATCAAAACCCAGAAAGTAAAGAGAGAAATACCGGGAAGTGCTTTTCAACATCGTCAACATCATTAACAAGAGAAGCCCTTGGATCATCTAATGAAATGGCAACTATTTTCCAGTCAAGCTCCCCTTCATCAATCATGGCTAAAGCAGCCAGGGGCTTAACCTTCAAGACATCACCAATCTTCCTCTGGGTTTCACCAATCTCAACAACATCAACTAAGAATTTAAAGAAACAAAAAAATCAATATTTTAGAACCTACTTTTCACAACAACAAAGAAGAAAAACCTTGTGAGAAGTATCAAGTACTGAAACAATTATTGGAACTACCAGGGTCGTTATCACCAAATGCTCCTTCAACTTCAGAGTTTGCCAAAGATGGATCTTCCCATGTTTGTGGAAGCAATCCATAGTTCCAATTTATATTATAGCTGAGGGACAATGGATGGGATCATTCAGGAACAAAAACTCCTTAACACACTACATAGCAATTTCATATTAATGGTTCTATCCAATCCCTTTTTTTTGTGGACTCAGATATAAACATTGAATATCCATAATCCAAACTGAATCTCACACATACATACATATTTAAAACCGAATTTCGATATTTAAAATCAAAATTATAGATATTAGATCAGCTATCATCCCTAGTTTAATTCTAGCTACAACAAATCCGAGCTGAAAATAATCCAAGAATTGAAATGAGCAATAAACCTAATCAAAATAAACAAATCTCACGGGTAATATCGAAGCTTTCCCTTCTTTGTGTCCTGCTTAATGGGAGTGTACAACTCATCAGTAGCAACCTCCATTTTCGCACTTGATTCCTTGGGTATCTCGACGATGAAGCTAAAAGCATCATCTCCCAAGTGCAATGGAACATCATGCCAAGGAGAAATCTAAGGCCACAATCAAATCTCAAATTCCAACCTTAATGAATTAAATTTCAAATAAATTGGGGGTAAAAGATGGGAAGTGAAAATACCTTTTTGCCCGAAGTATCTTCGAAAAAGACTCTGTAGTCGAGTGACTCGGGTTGGCCTTCTTGTTTGATCTGAAACTGGGGGTTATAAATGGCATTGCAAGAGAACAATCTCTTCGACAATCGTCTGCCGTTGTTGAGATTAAGTGCGTTGCTGCCGCGTTTCAAAGCGAACGGCTTTTTGAAAAGCAAGCAGGAAGAGGCAGTGGCGGTGGAGTGACCGGCGACGGCTATCACTCTGGCTGCTGCGGCCATTGTCAATTCTACTTTTTGTGGTGGACCTGAGATCAGAGGAGTGTTTTGGGGAGTGGTGGCCTTTACAGATTATGTACTTATTTTCTTTGAGCAAGTGGTTGGCATTCATTGGCTGACCTTTCATTCGCTTTTTTAGAGAAATCATACAAAAATGGATTAATAGTTATTGAGGCCATTGTACTTTTCTGAAAAACGGATATGACCCATGAGCTTATTTTAAACACAATACGACCCTTAAACTAAGAAAACAAAAAAAGTATTCATTCCAACTGCGAGCTGCAATCATCGGAGAAGATTGATCTTGGGAGCAATTCTTTGTATGGTAAGATTATTGATGATGACTTGTCTTCTTTTTAATGGATTCAAGCTCTTGAGTTTGAACAACAGCGGGGTTTTCGGATACTTTTCGATGGAAATCACTGGGAAATCTCACTGAATTGAAGTTCTTAAGCCTCGGTGACAATTGTATTGGCTTTACCTCAAATTGCAGCCCAAGAGGACAGATACATGATGGAATGCATCAATGCAGAACCTCACTCGGGTACAAAATCTCGAACTCTCCGATAATAGATTGTCCGGTCTGATCCCTGCCGGAATTGTCAAACTCAATAAACATTGACAATTTCTGCTTTACAACAACTCATTGTCAGGAAAATTTTCTGTTGGATTTGGAAACCTTACAAGTCTAGTGAAATTCGAAAACTCAATGAATATGCTTGAAGGACTTACTGGATTTGTGATCATTGAAGAATCTTGTTTCTTTGTAGCTCTTTGAAAATAGTTTCTCAGGAGAGATACCTGAGGAGTTTGGTGAAATCAAGAACCCTGTAGAGTTATCACTTTACAGAACAACCTCACCGGTCAGCTTCCCCCGAAAATTGGCTCATGGTTGGATTTCGGAGAATTTTTTTACCTGCCTATACCACCAGACATGTTCAAGAATGACAAAATGGTTAAACTTCTGTTGCAGCAGAACAACTTAACTGGAACTCTCCCAGAAAGTTACGCAAACCGTAAGTCCTTGGCTTGATTATGAGTACATAACAATGTGCTATCTGGTACTGTGTCCCTGCTGGTACATGGAGCCTGCCAAAGCTCTACTTAATTGATCTCACCATGAATCAATTTGAAGTTCCAGTGACAGGTTACATTGGTAATGCTAACTCTCTTGCTGTCGAATAACCGATTTTCTGGTGAATTGCCTGCTTCAATCTCTCTAGCTTCTTCATTAGTCTCAATTGATCTTAGTTCAAGTAAATTTTCTGGCCAAATTCCGGAAACCGTTGGAGAATTAAACGTCTAGGCAGCCTTTATTTGAATGATAACATGTTTTCTGGTACGATACCAGACTCATTAGGCTCATTTGTTTCTCTCAATGATGTAAACCTTGCTGGTAACTCACTTTCTGGGGAAATCCATGATAGTATTGGATACTTACAACCCCTGAACTCCTTGAATTTATCCGGAATCGAACTCAATGGTAAAAGTCCAACTGTTTTGTCATCTTTGAGAATAAGGCATTAAGCCTTTGTTCAATGCAGCTCGAATCTCGAGGACTTTCGGATGTGTTCATTGAATCTCGTTACATCGAGTCATCTTCGAACATTTTCATGTTTCATAGCTGGAACCATAGTTCTGTTTTTATGGATATGATGTTACATGTTTGTGAGGGTAAGGCAGAGTAATCTTAATCATCCATTGAAGCAGGGTTCATTGGAAATGAAATCATGTCAACTGCTACGTTTCACTGAAAAATCATACATCCATATTCAAATAAAATCGGAGTCTGTATGTTTGACAATCTCTAACTTACTAGACATCCAATATGTGAGCATATAATATTTTATTTCTAAAAATATCATATGAATTATTTAGCTGGTATCTAACAATCCATATCTGAATTTCTCAAATAATTACCAATATCCCAAAACCATACCTTATATCTGAGTTTTGAAAATCTAAACACGCGTTAGATTTCACACTGATGAAGTAAGGAATCTTTTGCATGTCGATACAATGTTCACAGTAACATAAATCAGACTCGATTCAGCAGTTTTACTCTAAAAAAACAACCAAACCTCAAAACACACTTTACATGGTTCCACAATTTATCGACCACCAAAACGCCACCAAAGGAAAAGGAATCGAACCAAACACTCCTTCAGACACACAAAAACGTCCACCCACCAAACTGTAGATATGCTCCTCGCAAATTAGCAGCACAAGGAAATGAAAGATTTGCACCAGAAAGCTAAAGGAACTCTCCCTGCAGCACTTCAAATCTGAAAACAAGCTATCCAACAACAAAATAACAGCTCACAACACCACCAGCCCCTCGAACAAATCAAACTCTCGTCCAAAAAACAGCTTCGCGGCTCCACGGATAACACCTAACTTCCAATGGTGTTTAACCATTCTTTGTTTCGTCACACAGGAAGAAACTCGAAAACAACTTCATGATGTACACCGACCCATGTGCGTAGGCAATGTAAACACAGGCAAAAAGCATACCGACCGCAGCTACACTGTCATACGAAAATGATCAACCAAAATCTAAAACTCGACCATTGTAGCATCTAACAAAATCAAGAATTGACGTGAAAGACAACGGCCAATAGCATTTACACCAAAAACCAATTAATATATATGATCATAAGTAATTATTTAATTTCAAAAGAATTTGTTACTTCAAATTATATTGGTGCGAATAAAAATCTACAAAGGAAGATATGTTGAGATGAGATGTCCATTACAGGTGAAAAATTCTGATTGATCTGATATTTCAATGAAGATTTGAAAAGAATTAATGTTGTAGATGTAACACCCACATACCGATGATCTGATCAGATCCGATGTGTCACATTAGGGCCACCGGAGCAACCCACGGTAAAAATCTCGAAAAAATAAATTTCTATTAAAACGCATAAAATCATAAAATAATTTATAATTGAAATAAAAGTTCAGAAAAAAAACTATTCATCATATATTACAAAAAGAATTAAAATCATAAAAGTTTCAGACTTGGATATAAAAACAAAATACAACCTACATGCCCCATAATCACGTGCACCGTACTCCGCAAGCAACATCGATGGAACTCCTTTACTGATGTCGATAGCTGTATTGGTTCGATTCTTTTAATATGAAATGGTGAGTAAAATAGTGAGTTCTGGGAAGCTTAGTAATACAAGACTATAAATTGATGCTGAAGGATATCCAGATAATAGCCAAACATAAAAATTTCCTTATCGATTCAGATGTCTATATGTTTTCGGGATAAGTTATAATTCCATTGATATTTTTTCGAGTAAATGACATGAAGATTTCAGTTCAAAGGAAACATTCAGAGGACCAAGTTCAGGAGATCTAAATAGGATGAATAGTGTGTTCCAACAAAATAGAGTAATATATATATAAATCCTTTAAAAATGTTAGTAGTTTAAAACATATTTTAAAACCACAGTAATACCCTCTAACCGAACACCTTTATGTAGTTTCCTCATAATTGCATCCATAAGGACTTACCCTAAGCACACAATAAAGGAGCCACCCTAAGGAAATACCTTGGGGCCTATGGGCCTACCCAAGGGTCTTCTTAGGTCCGTAAGGAATTACCAGCTCGATCAGAGCTGAACCTCTATACTCCAGAATCCTATCCATACAATATCCGATAGAAATCAATTTTAGCAATAAACAATAATATCAGGATTGTGATCCAGTAAAATCTCATAAGAGTGACAATGAAATAAACCACATAACTGCCCTCCACTCGTATACCATATGCAGTCTCATGATTTACCAAAGGGAGTACCTTAGGGCCTTAAAGCCTACCCAAGGTCACTTAAGGTCTGTAAGGAATTAACAGCTTGATCAGAGCTGAACCTCCATACTCTAGCCTACCCAAATGATACGTCGATAATCGATTCATATAATAAACAGTAGATTCGATGATCCATAAATCATGACCGATTATATTTTTCAGTGAATATAGGTAACCATAGAACACATACCATGTAGCCATAGTTCGTAAGCAGTAAATCAATAAATCAGTAATTTCATAAAATCACATTTTAAAACAGGTAAAACATTTACATGTCACATAAGGAACACACTAGAGGATCTAGATATTTTTCGGAGGTACTTGGTATTTATCAGGTAGGGAGCCATGAAACTTTTTTAATTTAATAGGATTTCAGAATCAAGATCCCTAAAAAAGTAGGTTTGATAGCTAACGGATTCATCATTCATTCGGGAAGTAATTTATCAAGATCATATAATATTCAGATATTTTTCGGTGGCAATTGAGTAATCAAGAAGATATTCAGAATCTTTTACATCAGAGTTATTAAAGATCTAGATATAACATGAGTGTTCCCATTATTCAGGCAAATAGGAGTATTTCAGACATTTTAATTTTTGATGGATTCTTAGTAACTTAATCCAATAAGAGTAAAATGATAGTTTGCATTATTCAGAATTTATACCAAATTATCATGATTTCGTGTCAAATCGTACTAACTCATCTCGACCTTGTAAAACTTATTAATATTATGTACTGATATACTTCACGAATAATCACTTCTTAATATTGATTACACTTGTTGAACTGGTCACATTCAGAATCACCCCTGAAATGAACTAAAGTAGACGTTCATGTATTTGATGGTATTATACATTTCTGGTATGAATCAGTATCAAGAATACTCAACACACTTGAGTTATGCTCCATAACCTTAAGAGATGAAACAACATAAGTTTTTTGGTGTTTCTAGAATTTATCCAAATACATTAACTTATTTCAAGTTATTAGGATATTTGGGTCACTTCCACACTCGAGGTTACTTCGGTCATCTTAGAGTTCAAGGTATTTTAATCTTTTTTGGGGTTCAAGGTATTTCAATCATTTGAATATTAGAGTTATTTTTTATTTCGCAGCCCGATGACATTTCGATAAATTCTTTTCAATCCAAACATATGTACATTTTCTAGTAATTTGTTGAGATTTCAGGTATGACAGGAGTGATTCCATTTTCAGAAAATCATGGGCATTTTAGACATTGGTTCTTGGAGAATTCTTAGTAATTTAATCTAAGAAGAGTAGAGCAATGATTTGTTATACAAGATTATATATTGAATTATCAGGATTTCGAGTCCAATTGAACTACAGATCCTAACACTGCGGTACTTGTCAATCATTCGGACCTTGATACTTCTCTATTATTCACTTCTTAACACTGATTGCACTAGCTGAACTGATGAATATAAGAATAATCATTGAATGGATCTTA